GACTCAATCGAGTAGCTAGAAAGTCGAGCCTACTTATTCGCTTTTACGTCGCTGTCCTTATCGATTTCTGGCCTGGGTATTCTCATATAGATAGCTGATAGTGTACGTGTCACGCCATGAGAAGAAATCGCGTTCTAGACTCGGTCGATAATTTTTCGTAAGCATTATTGACTTGATATTGGTTAATTTTGACGAGGGACACTAATCGATTTATTTGTATAACGCCTAGTCTATTGGCGGCATCGAGCGCAATTCTAACATTACAAAGGTATGACTTCCTATGTTTTCCTTGCTTCCTTTCTCTTTCTCCGTTCCTCTCTTTCTTTCAGAACCCATCATCTTTGAGTTCGGCGTGCCTGGTGAGACGATAGACAGAGTACGTGCAGCATCCGCGATCCATTGTTCTGGTGCACTTACGTACCGCATATGTTTCGTACGTATTTGTGTGATACCTGCTAGCACTTGAATTATCTAGGCCACCGGCTCATAGAGGAAATGGAAGCAACCCTGTTCTTAGTGTGCTGACGACGGTAAAACGCTACGTATACACTACTTACAAACGTCAGCCGAAAAAATAAAAGCTTTCCATATATACATGTATATAATGTCGGGCCAGACACTACTTCCTCATCCTCCGCATTCCAGACTCTTTATGTCTGCCACTTCTTCTGCTACAGGATCCACCACCCGCGCGACGAGTCATTGAAAGAATGTCTATTTTTCGTCCTCGCTTTCCATTTTCTAAAGCTTCATTTCGCAGCTTTTAGGAATGCATTGTCAGGCTACGAGGCTGTGTCCATGTACATACCTTTCAGCGGCTAAAACCATTATACCCAATTATGGGTAAAATCGGCAGTCTACAATTAATTACGATAATTCATTTGAAAATCGTTCTCGAGAAGATTCGAGAACTTGTGATACCGTCTTTTAATGATGGATGGAACGCGATTACACGCTTTTAGATTTTTCATGACGCGAGCCTCTTAGCTAAGCTATGTATAACCTTGAGAATATGGCTGCGTTTACGTTCATGGTCGTCGCACATTAAACGGCTCTTTATTTATTGATTTACCGGAAGTTTACGACACTGCCGAAGTCTTACAGAAACGCGTTTCTGTAGGGATTCATCGGCTGACGGCCTAGTGGTACAGTTGCTCGATGCTTTTAACATTGAACGTTGGATGACTTCGAGCAAGGACATTGCTTGTTACCCTTCAGTTCTCATTGAACTCTTGTTTATGTTTATCTCGGGTTAATGTCAGCTAACGGGGAAGCAAGGAGAAACGTGGACTCACTTTGAGGCACAGTCAGGGAATTCCGTTGCACAGTTGAGAGAGAGAGAAAGAGAAGAGAAGACAATGAGAGTAAAAAAAATGTCCCAGATAGAAGAGCACGGACGTGCGTCCTAATACCGTAATTGCGCTCTGAAATGGGAACAATTCAAATGAGCAGGATATATAAGGCAAAACAATGAACGCTACTAGGAGAGCAGAATGCCTGTTCTATTTTAATAATTGAAAATTCCGCGTAAGCCACCGACGTTCTATAACGTCTGGACTTTGCGAGAAGGTAAAAGGGCATACTGCATCTTTCAAACGACGCTATTGCACGTCATCTTACCCTCGCGTCTTATTGTCTCATCACCTCGTGGATATCAGACTTTCAGCTCTTGTTGTGTGTACCTATTAATATAATGAGAATGATCCAACGGCAGCACAGTCTGAGTCATGTTACTTTAAGGACCTTTGTTGTTGTCTTACTAGCCCATGAAAAAAACATTGGCTCTCAATATTTCTCGCACGACCGCATAGCGAATGCATGTATCGTTCCCATAGATTGTTATGCTTCTTGGGGATTCCTTTAGGATCAAAATAAATAATTGCACCAGTGTGGAGTAAAATGTAAAATAGATGTAGTTTATTAGTTGTATGCTATTGCCTAGTATAGAGCTTGGTTATTATAATGCAAATATTTAATCATCACTTACTTTTAAAACGGCAGCTACTGCAAATGCTTCAACATTTTATTGCTCAAGAGTCGTATTGCGAGTGAGTCCTTAGTAATGATCTGGGTGCCCCCTGACCCTTTTTGCAGTGCACCTTATGCCTAGATTCAGTATTTATATAATGTTGACCTCTACCTCTGGAGCTTAATTGTGCATGGGAACGACGCGAGAATAATAAAATTCTCGGGGAGAGCATAACAAGATATTACAGACAGAACGAGTGACATGCTGAGGTTATGTCTTACGTATACCTATACTACACACGGACTTCGGTTAAGGTACTGCAATCGTTTATCATTTAGAGTCGCGAAGGTCTAGCAAGGTTTACGGAGGTTCACGCAGCGTCTAACATGGACAGGACTATGACGAAACCAAGAGAGATCGATGTCGTAGCATTTAATGGCGCCATTTGTCACTAGTCGGGATAATTGGATCCGAATCGTACGACTGCCAGTTGAGTTCCTAACCCCACGGAGAAGGTTAAGGGAGTCTGAAGTCTCGCTCGTTCGTTCTACGAATCGTCGATTGCTCGAAGACTCCACCCCAGTGCCAATCTCCCACTCGAGTCCTCGGCGAATCATATAAGCGGCTCTGCTCTGTCTAGACAAGAGACGAGCGAGTGTTTATGGTGATAAGGCATTTTCGAGGTTATGCAAAGTGTCGGTGGATACGCTACGACTGCTTAGGAGTTCCGTAGACTTTTTATTCTTCGTCTATTTTCACGGTAATATATCTCTATCGTCGAAGTTTCGGTCGAGATGTCAGCAAGTTTTACTATCTCTTGTGGGTTTTCGTCTACCTTACGTATCCTTTTTCACTTCCGGGAAGAAGTGTATCCTATGTACGTACTGTCGCTTTCCGTCGATACTTGGCCATTTTCTGAGTGCAGCAGACCCAGTCAAATTCTTTGGTCGAACTGGATGGCTTGTTGTCTATTTATCATAATAGTGCACAGAAGTCTTTCTGGAAAAAAATATAAATACCGCTGGCTTCTCCTCTCAAGAATTGTAGTCTACATTGGAACCAGAGAACGAAATTCTTTGCAAGCAGTCTGGATCGAATTATGGTTATCCTCTTGAGAGCTTAGACCGTTGTCACATACGGAATCTTGATCCTGGTATACCGTTGATAAAATATGGTACTTCGATACAATCTATTTTTTGAGGCAGACACGTTAACCCGTTTCGTATCAGCAAGACAGGGGAGTCCAGGGGACCCAGGGGAAATATTATAATTCGATAGGAATAATTTTTCACGTATAAAGAGATCCTTGTGATTTACAACTGATACTCGTAGCATTTTCGAGTCTTTACGATTGGTCCTAGTAATCGCAGGGGCTGGACATTTCGTACTGCATCGGTACGTGGTGGCGGCAAATTTAAAATGTAAAACCAGACAGAAATTTTACTGGCCGATCGCCAGCCTCCCTACAGTTTAACAAACTACCACCCGTCTGCACCCACCCTCTTCTTTCACGAATTCACAGACACGTAAAATTGTTCCTGCATACTCGAGAGCATGAACATGCCACGTGGACGAGTAGCCTATTGGATTTTCAACGAAAAAAATTCTCAATGGCAACGCACTTCGTTAATTTTTTGTCGCCTGGCCAGATTGAAGAAAAAAGAAAAATAGTTGGCGTCCTTCTCTCAGTATTCTATCATTATTAGATACCTTTCTCTAGCACCGCGTCGCACAAATTTCCAAATTTTAACTCTCGCGCTGAGTCATCTGGTTTTTTTTTTCTAGATTTCGACCTAGTTCTCGTTTTTCGGCGGTGCAGACGCCACTGAAAAGTGTGACAGGTCTGTCATGAGTGCCAAAATGAAACAGGGCCTGTCATCTTACATTATCTATGAGTCAGCTTAGAACGGTCAGGGTTATCAAATATAACTTTTTTCTAACCACCCTGTTCCCTAGGTATAAACTCAAACGTGTCGTCGCAAAATCAGCTGGTATCGAAATAACAGCAATTGAGAGACGTTCTCTAATGTTTTAAGCGCGCTAAATTGCAAAATTAACCGTCGTCCGTAATGATTAGCATTAAAGATTTAACCTTGTCTTTCGCATATACGGTAACTGCTATGCTATGCTATGCTAGTCCTTCCCGTTGAATTCTCTTCAATGTTAAAATCACTCTACGTATTGTGCAACACTCGCGGTGCTCGTAATCATTGTGAAAGCTTTAGGCGTGTTGTACTATTAATTAAATTACGTTTCGTATCGATTTCTCAGTTACTGAAATCCGAAACGTCTGACACGCAGGAATTTCTTTCGTGATCGTAATAACACACGTGTTAAAGATAATCATAGCAAGTATAAGAGGCAAATGGCAAATGTGTGGACAGTCATACGCAAATATTCCGTGGCCTAATATGTACGTCATACTATGTATGTATATAACGATAAAAATGCTGTGTTCGTAATATACGATATACGATTTCAGTTGAACTTTCCTCCGATAGTTTATACACGCTGGAAATATTTTATATATTTCCTATGTACTTTTTATTGGCTTAATTAAATTGCTAATTCGTACCAAGCCCTGCGCACGTCATACCTTCCATACGAATAACGTTGATCCCCGAGCCCCGAGCCCTGCTGCCTTTTGAATTGACGCGTATATGGGGATGGTCTTTCATTGTGAAGTAGATACGATAGCTTCTCTCGATCCGCTTGGAGAATCCATTATGAATCCTATGCTGAATGGTCGAATGTCAAGGGTTGAGAAAAATGGAAAAGTCTTCAGGCGCGACATTTCGAAATGTCGCGTCGCTTTCGGCCCTCGCCGGATTCAGGCCGTGCGACATTTTCCCTAAAGCCGATTAACGTTTCCTCATTGTTTTTTTTTTTTTTTTTTTTTT